TCTTCTTGGTCTGATCCCCTTTTGAGTCTGTGACTAAACACTCATTTTTAAAATCAGAATTTTTGTTTATTTCGAAGTTCAGTTTGTAGAGCCTTTTTTTTGTCCTCTCTCTTTGCCACAGCACACACTTTATTTGCCTTGTTCTCTAACAATTTTGAGGTTTTGCTGTCTGAATGCAAATAAAAACCTTTATCTAGGGCCATACCCAGAGAGAAAAGATTTGTACACATGTCCAGTACATACATCTATCTGTGATGCTTAGGTTTATATATTCAATACCCGTGTATGAATTAACATTAACTGTACTTACTCCAATTGCCTTGAGTGGTTTTCCGTCTCCTATCTTCACCTCTTTCTCTATCTTGAGTTCGGAGTAGGTGTCGAACATGTTGATATTTTTGCATATGTGCTGTGTGGCTCCACTATCTAAATACCAAGCAGTGTTGACTGGATGGGAGTTTACACTCATAACTGCTATATTGTCTTGGCTAGTTGAACTTGTCCAGTTCTGTCTGTCTGTTTGAGTTTCCACCTTGATTTTTCTTCTTTCTATACCAGCAGCCAGCCAGCCAATGCTCTTTTTTCTTGCAGTAATTACATTATTGGACTTGAATCCTTTTCCTGCAATCTTGTTTAGCGTGGCCTGGAATTCCACAATTTTCACACGTAGAATTTCTGTACTGACTTGTTCTTCTTATATTGGTGTTAACTGTACTCGACTTTCTTGCAGCCAGGGCTACTGTTCCTTCTTGTGCATTCATTCATTCTTCTTCTATAAGCAGCCTAGCAGTTAATTTTTTCCAACGTTTGTTTGGCTTCTGATACAGATTCCCACACTGAAATAAAGTGCTTATAAGCATCAGGAAGAGTCATATTGAGCTTGGTCATTACCATTTTCTTGGAGAGTTCCTCTCCTCTTTGTCTGAGCGTAGCAACTAGGTTGTTTACTGCTGTTAAATAGGTGTTCAGGTTATCCTCAAATTTCAATGAGTAAAATTGTTGGTACAGCAAATGAACACTAACGTTTGATTCCCTCTCATATACAGACTGTAGTTTCTTCCACATTTCACGTGATGTAGTGCAGTTCATTATATGGGTAAGAGGTATAGGCTCCATTTGGGTGATGAGCACTTCTTGAGCTCGAGCGTCTGCCTTTTTCCAAGTTGACAACAGAGCGCTTTCTGTAGGAGCTTCTTTTGTACCATCAACATATTCAAAAAGATCCTTCGCAGTTAGAACTACTTTGATTTGAAACTTCCAAGTGTTCCAATTTTCATTGTTCAGTTTGGGCATCTGAATTGTAGGCTCCATGTTGGTCGTTATTCTTTGTTCACTTATCGCTTCTCTGTTTTAGTCACACAACTAACACAACACTGGTAAATCTATAGTAATGTTCCTGGGCCCATAACCTGTTGAGATAATGGAAGCAGTATAAATAAATAACATTGTCCGTTCAATTTACCAGTTTAATCACAGTAATAATTATAGAGAAAATCACAAAGAACGAGACAGGGTAATGTCCCTTTTTATCACAAGAAGGTTGAACACGCAAACTCTCAGGCTGCGTCAGACTCTCACTGCTATCACTAATTCACAGCGCCCTTCCTTTTTTGTAAGACTGTCGGGACAAAAGAATGGAAAAGAGCGCCCTCTACACAATATGGAGATATAAGGCGCCAACATTCAAACTGTAACAAAATTAATACAAAAGTGATTTTTGATTGTTATTAATTCTAGAACAGAAGGACGTGGTTTATGTACCCCCATTGCCCCAATCACTCTAGGATCTCCGAAACAATCAATTGTGCTATGGAGACCATCACACCTGAAATGCTGCAGCAGGTGTGGCAGGAATTGGACTATCGCACTGATGTGTGCCGGGTAACGAAAGGTGCGCACACAGAGGCACTTTGATGGATGCACATAAAATTTGGACAGTTAAGCTTCTGATTGACACATGTTATGATTGTACACAGCAAGAAGTACGAAATATATATGTATCTGAAACCCCACCATTCTTTTAGGAACACCCAATATACTAAAATAAGATATAAAATGAAAAGTAAAATATAACAAATAGATAAAATATGATATGATATGATAAAAGCAGCTGTAACTCACAACTTTGTCAACATACATACATACAACAAATGAACAATTTTCGAGTCACAACAATGATGTACAGATACAAATGCGCCCATAAGTACATGTTATCACAATTACACCAATATGAATTTCATTCAGAATAAACCTTAACTATAGATTTATAGACCATTCCAGGTATTCATTTATTGAATAGAAAGATTCCCTTAAAAGGAAATTTTTAGTGACTAATCTAAATTTCTTAATATCAGTTGATAATTTTCTTATGTTCCATGGTAAATGATTAAATATTACAATGCCCATATAATACACACCCTTTTTGTACTTGGTCAGCTTTACAGATGGTAAGTGTAAGTTGAAACTCTGTCGCGTATTTATAGTATACATTTCAGTATTAATCACAAATAGGTGCATATTTTTCACTATATTGGGAATAAAAGGCAGTTTATTTAAACGTTTAAAAAATCCTTGACAAGATGCTTTAGGATTTGCATTCATAATAATTCTTATAATTTTTTTTTGAACTATAAAAATATTTTTACTATTTGCAGCATTTCCCCAGAAGGCAATTTCATATGTCATAATAGAATGAACATACGCATAATATACAATTTTTAAATCATCAATTGTTAGAAGTGATTTAACAGATCTAATAACAAAACAAGCAGAGTTTAATTTCTTACTCATTTTGTTTAAATGTCCTTGCCAAGATAACGTCGAATCCAGTGTCACTCCTAGAAAGTCAGTGCAATGGGTACTATTTATTTGAGTATTTACATACCTTATTGAGGAGTTATCAGTTTGACTCATTTTTGTTTTAAAATACATAGTGTGTTTTATTAATATTCAAGGTCAAAGAATTAGCGTGAAACCAATGCATTACTTCCCAAAGACAATATTAAAATTTTCTTTAAGCTGCTTATAATCAGGAGCAGTTAATATTAAGTTAATATCATCTGCGAATAAAGTAGGTTTTGATATGTCACTTATTATAGCTGGTAAATCATTTATATACAATAAAAAAAATAACAGTCCAAGGATCGATCCCTGTGGAACACGTGCATATAATCTATTGAAGATAACTTTTCCAAAAATTTTGGAAAAAAATGTAAGTACAGAAATTGGTCTATAATTTGATATTTCAGACTTTTCGCCTTTTTTATAAATCGGATGTATTTGTGAGTATTTCAGCCGTTCTGGGAATATTCCTGTAGACAAAGACCTATTACATATATAAACAAGAGGCAATATTATGAAAGGCATTTCATTATCTTCATTAAGACTTCATCATAGCTACAAGAATTTTTATTTTTAAGAGATTTAATATCTTTTAGTTCTTTACCAGTTACAGGTTTATATGTAATGTTACTTATGGATCCTATAGATAATGAGAATAATGAAAAAACTTATCTTTATTTAGTGATGGCTCTGAGGTGATATCGTTACTCGGCTGTTTATGCATTGTAGTATTAAAATATAAATTAAAAGCATCAGCTATATTTTGACTGTCTTTACATTTTTCTCCCCCAATAATTAATTGTGGTGGGTGACAAGCATTTTTACATTTTCCAGTCACGCTATTTACTATGCCCCACATAGTTTTGGATTTATTACTAGATTTAGCAATCAGTTTGTTATATATAATAGATTCTTCTGGCTGCTTTTATAACTTCTCTTAATATTTTACAATATTTCTTGTAATAGGCATGCAGTATAGGATTTTTAACATTCCTACATAGTATANACACACACATACCCAACAGGCCCAGCAGTAAAACACACACAGTCACAGGAGCAAGACACAACACAAAGCACAATACACACACGAAAGCAGGAAGAGTGCTCCGATAGAAGAGGATAGGTGTGACTCGCGTATTGAGATGCGACGTAGGGATAAAAAATCCTGAACAGTTTTAATATTTTTAATATTTAATATTTATCAATATATATGATGAACATATATTTTAGTTATTTTAGTATGAAGACGGCAAGGCATGCAGTGAAGTAGTTTAACGTAAATCTAAAAGCACCTGAAGATGGCACCTTTGTGCCAAAACATGTAGTGCAGGAGTGAAGAGTGAGGTGGATGAATGTATGCACTGTAAGACGGCTGGAATAAATCATGGACATAAATCAGTGCAACAGGCCGCTAAAATATAACATTATCTATTGAGGAAGCTATTAAATAATTTACCAACCTCATCCTCTAAAAAGACTTCCTCCCACATTTCATAGCTTAAGTTTATCTCAAAGTCTTCCATACTATCTTTATTTATCTGGCGTATAGTATAACAACCAAAGTTTGAATCATTAATTTTTAAATTATTGAATATTAATAACTGTGCATCATGGTCAGATAGACCACTCATAACCAGAATAATAGAATAATTATTTAACTTAATAATAAAATAATAATAATAAAAATACCGTCTATAGCCGTAGAAGATTTATTGTCTATTCTTGTGGGAAAATCGACTATATTAAATAAGCTATAAGCAGCCAAAAGAGAATCTAGTTGGGTTTTATTGTTACTCCTGGCAAGATAATGTTTATGTCCCCACGAAAGAATTATATTTGTGGAAGTTGAGTAAAGCTTATTTAATACCAGTTCTAAAGCATTTATAAAATATGGGAAATTTCCCAACGGGGATCTATAGATTGATATAATACAATAAATATTTGACATTAAACATAATTTTGTAGCACATGCTTCAAAGTCCTGCTCTTTACAGAACTTTCCCAAATCAATAGATGTAAAGGATAGTGATTCATATCCATACATACATACCCCTCCAAACTTAGATTTGCTTCTGCAGTACTTAGCTAGTAGCGTATAAGGACTACAACACAGCTTATTGATTTCCATTTCATGTAAATGATGCTCCATAAGATAAAAATATGTGGATATTCATTTGCCAGAAAACTTAGTAACTCATCGATTTTACCACTGATTGATCTAATATTCTGATGATATACCATAAAAGGTACCTTGTGAGTGGTCGTAACACATTCGTTATTTGCCTTTCTGTTTAAGTTTATATTTAGATTTTCCATAAAAAATCATCTGTTCTAATCATGGGTACCTTTTCTTGTCTCTTGGATATTCTACATACATTATGTGTAACCGCACCATTGAAATCCTTCCCCTCCCCCCTCTCTTATTTCAGTAGCTTATAAAGTAGACTATAAGAATTATGAAGAAACAAAGGTTTAAGACACACAGTCAGAACAAGCAGTAGGTGATGAGCAGACAGACTGAACTTGCACAGACAAGGACATCTGCTAGTCCTTGCATCCAAGCATTTGGTGTTGTTTTCCAGAAGGGCAGAAATGATACTTCAAGGAACCCCACTGAGTTTCTTTAGAAATTGAGAATTTGACTTACAGCGGCAAGTCACTTTGAGAATTTGAGACATGACAGTTCCTGCAAGCCATAAGTCAAAAGTGGGAGTGCCAGGAGATCATTAGTGACCCCTCATAAGTTGCATCGCTGTCAATTTCGCCGTTTGGTCTTTTAGGCCGAAACTCCCTCTAAAACAATCGGTCATTGGCCGGAACCAAAATTAAGTCAACTCCTCTTATTTGAATCAGCCTACCGGGAAATTTGGAGGAGAGGAGAATAGGCGGATACAACGCAGTTAGGACCTCTGGCTCGGCAGAGAGTCCAGTTTAAGATTTTGATCTGCTACAAACTTTCGAACTTGGCGGAGGCAAACCCCGCGATTATACTTGCTTGTTAAGTTAAATAATTCTTAGAAGTGCAAAATTTGGCCATAACTTAAAAGAGATCTAGCTTAATCCATAAGCAGACGGTTGTAAGTCGACCTTATCGGGTAATTTGAGCAAGTGCAACACCGGCTGCTTGAAAGCCAAACTAAATCTGATTGTGTGGATTTATACCACCGAGTGACTGTAAGAAAAACAATAAAGTGTTCTAGTGGTACAGTGCATTGTGTTGGTTAGAAATGCTTCACCCTCACTTGTCCGAGCCTGACCCGTAGCCGACCTGAGGAGAGACTCATCGCCAGGAGCTAGTCAAACCCATCGCCAGCTTCCACCCACTCATGCTTTCCCTCCTTTATAATGAATCACAAACCGCACCTAGCTGTGTGCTGGCGCCCATTACATCAGGTCCCATCCTGAAATAACAACCCCTGTAATCAGCAACGGAAGGAGGAAGCGGTGGAGCCTGGTCAAGCTGGAACCAGCCACGACCTAACAATTTCAGCAGCAGCAGCACCAGGTAGGGCAGTCAAAGTGATGCCGAACGTAAGGCAAACAAGACGGACAGTAAAAAAAGGTGGCAACCAACTTGTGGGCTAGAAGCCTCAAGGGAGGACAGTTAAATATGTTCTTTCCCCTTTGTACGATCATGTACCTCATCATTTAACAGAACGTTATTAAGGTCATTACAAGCTGTGGGAGACTCCATCTCCAATGTAATAGTTTGTTTCCCCAGCCTAACGTAATAGGCAAAACCTCAATATGCTGAAACAGTTCCCCGATACTTGAAGCAAGTTGACTAAAGATAATTTCTTTACCTTGCCCATTAAGGTGTAAGCCATGCCTAGTGAAATAATCTCTATCTTGTGAAGTTTGTGAGGGGAACGTGATTTCCAAGCCGTTGTTCAGCAACAGACATCTGGCTCTGGCTCCACTATTCCAGCTTTCAGCCATCATGTCAAATTATTCAAAAACTTGTCCCTATTGTTTCATGTATGCTTGAAGATTACCTAAAGAAATGTTGAAACATGTAACATTAAAATCTGCACCAGTAAATGAATGTTGATACTGTAACATCTGGTTCGTTTCGGTTTCAATAATTTGTTGTGTTGACCGTCCCTTTTATATACGACACACACACTTAACATGTTAAGTGTCCACAGAAATAGCTAACAAAATGGTTTTTGTGCCCATATGCCCAAGAAACAACCACAGAGTTCATATTTGGCCTCATTTGATCACATAAAGCAGTGGTTCCCACACTGGGAGGTATACCTCTTGTGCTGCACACCAGGGTGGTTTGGATTTGGTTTTGGTTGGTTTGTTCAGTTGATTTTCAACCTGCAAGGCGTCATTTGTGTGCAGTGCAATGAAAACTAAACAGAATTTTGGATTCATCCTTACTCTGCAACAATGCTAATAATGGTTATGTATTGGTATGTAGAGAGCTCGATCGGCATGAGGATAATTTTTATTTATATTATGGGATGCCTGGGGCACACAGTAGTGTAGTTGGTTGAGGCACTATGCTACAAGCCGGAAAGTCGTGGGATCGAATCACCATGAAGTCATTGGAATTCTTTTCAATTTACCTAATCCTTCCAGCTGCACTGTGGTCTTGGTGTCAACTCAACCTCTAACACAGATGAGTACCAGGAATATTCTTGGGGGTAAAGGGCAGCCGGTGCGTAAGACTGACAACCTTGCCGCCATCTATGAGCAGATAGTCTAGAAAATGTGGGAAACTCAACATCTCACAACCCTATGGGCCTCCACAGCCTGTTACAGGGATGCCTTTACTTACTTTACTGTAGGATGTCTAAGAGAGCTTCATTATCTTAGTGATATTAGAGAAATCTTTGATTTGGATGGGGGGACACCACTTATCTGAAATTGGTTCCTGTTGTAGACACAATTTTAATGAGTTGAATGTTAGTGAAAAAAAAATTGCTGCAGGTTACACAGTTTTGTTATCTACATTATGGGCATCCAGGTTATTTCAGTAGTGGGCTATATGATCAGAAATTCATGTGTGTACAGGCTGCATGAATTTTTTATGAAATGCAGTTGTAAAGTATAGGTTGTTAACTATCCAAAAATAGTTTAATCAATTTGATCTGTTTAAAGTTGCAGATTTGTAGGCCTAGTGCTAGTCACTGATCCATTTTGCTGAAAAAAGAAAACTAGTGGAGTGCATGCTAGATGTCCGTGATCTAGGTCATGATATTGTCTCATGTTAATGACTATATGCAGAGTGTGGCTTGATTGCTGAATGTATTGGGATGCGTATTACTTGTAACTACAAATAAATGTCAGGGCATCAATCCATGAAAATACGAAATGGTACTGTATTAGTGTAGAGGATGTTATTTTCTTTTTTATTATTATCACCTCAACTATCTTATGTTAATTAAGAGTATTTATATNTTGGTTTGGGGGGGGGGGGTTCATTTTTTTCATGTCTGGCAAAAGACTGCTGAGAAAAATCACTTCTACACATTCATCACCATTCCTTCTCTTCCTTGACAGAAAGTTAGATATCATATCCAAGGGGTCAGAGACAGGTTTCTTTCTTTTCACTGGTGGAACAGATAGCACCTCTTCATTATATCTAGCTCCACCTGCAGTTCTATTGTCCTTATCATTGGTATGCCTCTTCCAGCTGTTTTTCAGGCTCATGAGGATTATCATCAGCCTCTGGCTGTGAACTTTGTATGTATCCTCATCCTGCTGGGAACAAAAATATTCATTAATGCTCTGAAATGTTTGAGTTTGTCTGTGAGCATGCATGATTATAGTTCATACCTGTATTGCAGTTACTTCCTTGACTTAAAGTGAGGTTTCAAGAAATGAAATGCAACCTCAAGATATTTTTTAATGCACACATGGTCTCTCTTTATTTGTTTCAAGCAGAATCCCCTGATATTATATGGTTTCAATTCTCTTTCTATAACTGAGGATATTTCTTTGCATCTGTCATCAGGATTCAACTATAAAGCCCTATCCTTTCATTTTACGCATGGTGAGACTACTATAGGTCATACAGTTCATGAAACTACTCAGAATATATGGAAAGTGCTTCGGACCATTTATATGGCCTTATGTAATGAACAAAAAAAAGCCTGATGGCAAGTGTCCATCTTCTACAATTATAAAAACTTTTTTTTCTGTTCTATCCACATGTGCCAATGCTGATGGACTTTGCAGCAGTTGTCAGTGACTATCATATGATAAGAGCTTACATTTTGAAAAGCATTTTTCAGTAATTCACTTAATATATCTAGGGACAGTGCTTTCCCTTTGACCAGGCACATAATGAGACCCTGTTGTACTGTATGATGTTCATGTGTGGTCATGGTTATAGGACACACCAAAAAAGCATTTTACGTGTCCTTTTGAAGCTGTGTACCAACTTGCAGGTCTAGCCAACCCAGTATATAGACTAAACAAATTACTGTGTGTTTACCCCCCCCCCCCAACATGTGAGTACAGAAGCAATTGTTTCTGGTATAAGGCAGGCTGGCGATCTATGCTTTATGTAACCATTCTGTTGTCATCTGTTAATTTAACCCTGCCATACATCAAATTCATGTGCTGCTAGGTGAACCTGAGTAGCCTTGAAATACTGGGATACAAAGAAAAATTAATCAGTAGGTTTTCTAGAGTGTAGAAAAGCATTAAGTGTGCTTTTGGAAACATTTGTCTCAAGATTGTACACCTTGGTAACACCGATTAATGTGGCGATTAGAGTGATGACATTGTCAAAGCAATATGCATTTGCCATGCTTAGTGTGGATGAGAGGTGGATTTTCAACTCCTCAAGGCCTCAACAAACCTGTAATTGAATACATCGAAGGGCAACGTTGTGTAATTTGCAATCAGTAAATGTTAAGTGATGAACAGAAACAGTTCAGGCAGGAGATTTCTTAGCAGCAAAACACGCAACAACAAAATTCATTATATGAAAAAAATACGTACTTCTGCTATCATGCCTCAATTCCGGCACTGAGTACTTGAGAAGCAACTTAGTATGTAATAATATCACTCACCTTGTAGCAGAGATCGAAGGAAGAACTTTTAAATCATTATTAATTATAGGGGGCACTATGCTATAAGTCAGAAGGTTGTGGGTTCGAGTCCCGATGAGCTGGATTTTTTTTAATTTACCTAACCCTTCCAGGGACACTATGGTCCTGCAGTCGACTCAGCCCCTAATAAGAGAACTGAGTACCAGGAATCTTCCTGGGTGCTAAAGGGCGGCCATTGTGTAAGGCTGACAACCTTATCGCCATCTGTGAACCGATTAGCTAAAGAAAATATGGGAGCTTCGACGTCTCACAACCCTATGGGCAGTCACGGCCTGTTGCACTGACAGCTTAACCTTTACAGTTTACCTTCATTAATTTTTTTTAATAATCCCTGAACTTATTTAGTAATCCGTGATCCACACTGAACGTTTCGGGCATGTGTTGCGGGAGCTCCTATTTTGTTTAAATTTAACCAGTTCCTTAGATAATGAGTCATCCTAAATGACATACAATTTAATGGATACACATATTGTTCAGCGAGAAAATGCGCTCCGTACGGTACGAATCGTATGCGCCAATGAAAGGAAAAAGCGAGGAAATGTCACAAGCAGCGACAGACCCGCGTGACCAACCACGACCCTGATCCGTGCTCAGTCCAGGACGTTTAGGAGGCTGTGATGGTTTGTGGTGGATTTGTTTTGAGTTCCGTTGTTACCAAGTTTAATGTTTTCCCTCCCAATGTAGAATTTGCAATGTTCAGTATCGGTGTAAGTCTATAGCATAATTGCTGTGCTATATAAAGGTCAAGACTGAGTTATTTTTATTGTGGGAGTTTTAATGATGTGGTTCATACCTTGAGGGTATGTCAGTACTGTAACCTAGTTTTAGAGTTACAATTGAAGTCGGTTACATATTTTGATCTAAAGTGGAGTCACAGTGGGCATTTTCTTGAAATATCGAGAAAGAAGATGATTGTATATACGAGACAAGTAATGTACAAAATTCAGAACAGGTTAGTAATGTAGCAGCAACATACGGTGGTGAGAGTCGCAGAAAACACGATACAAAGTTTGTTGCTGAAACAAATTACAGATAAAATTAGGGACTTCATGACTTAAAATCAATGTTTGATAATATATAAAGGATTCGTTTAGTATGTACGAAGAACAGTCCTCCTAATAGCCCGGGTATTTGTGCTTTTCCGAAGCTGTCACATTCGTATTTCTGTAATTCACAGCAAAGAAATGCGATGAGTAGAAATGAATTACTCCATGGCGCAGAGTCGATCTTGAAAAGGTAATAAATAGTAGTTCAGCTACTCACATATTTCACTTTTTATGAACTTGAGGATTCATTTCTGTTTGCAAAACAACCCTATCCGGAGCCAGAAGAATGTAGTCCACATCAAGTGTCACATAATTAAAGTTAACCTTTTCTTGTTGTGTAAATTAGTGATGGAGAACCCCATGCCCAGTGTCATAGCACAAGAGCAACACACTCGAAGGACACTGAAATGTTCCAATTTTATACGAGTTTTACACTTTCATACCACCGAACTTTTCTACATGTATAGTCTACCACACAAATTAGGCTTTAGGAATAAAGCAGAACAACTTTATTTTGTAAATAAATTATGGCAATGAGTTGATACTTTTGTTTAAAAAAAAAATTAAAAAAGAAACCAACTTTTATGTAACTCAAGATAACTTTCTGAACATGTACAAAGACAGTTTTGCAGATATTTATCTGTGTGCAAGTACTATATTTGGCAATATTAATTGTATAATCATCTACAATTTCTCTTTATGTCATCTATTTCCTTTGAGAGAATTTCCTGAAATTGATGGGTTTGTGCTGCAAAATGTTCTGGTGTATACTTTACAAAACACTGCTTATTTCCTTATCAGTGTGTAGGATGATAGTGGATTTTGAGTGGATGGATGCCACTTAAGTTTCAAACATAAAACAGTTCCAGTGCCTGAGTAGTAACCCATGAATGTATATAGGTAGGCAAGGAATATGAATGTAAGATTTGAGGCTTTCACGGCGGTGACTATGAAGAAAGCAGTCTTCTGGGATTTGGCACCGTGTATATGTGGTATTAACCAACGTTCAGAGGAACGTATCGCCCCCATCTTCAGGGTAGAAGAAAAAGTATAAGAAATCTGCAAGCGACAACACCGTGTTACCGTTTCTCACGGTATTGTCGCTTGCAGATTTCTTATACTTTTTCTTCTACCCTGAAGATGGGGGTGATACGTTCCTCCGAAACGTCGGTTAACACCACATATACACGGTGCCAAATCCCAGAAGACTGCTTTCTTCAAGGAATATGAAGCATCACATATATTTAACCTTGGAATTAAATACAGATCAGCTCCATATTTTGTTTATTTTTACAGCCAGAGAAATTACATGACATTAGGCATTGTCATTCAGCTAAATTTTAATTTTAGTAGTTTTATTTTCGACTGTGTAATGAATCAGTTATCATTATTTAAATGAATTTAATGACTGATGAAAAAAAATGGAAAAATCCATGTAAAACTAATCTGATAATTTTAATAGTAATTTTATAAGTGCAGGTAGGTATCCTGAGATATTCATTAAATAGGCTGTCTTATCAAGACAGTAAATTATTTAACATGTATACACTAACATTGTGATTGAGTGGGTAGCATTTCTGCTTTGTGTTCCATAGGACCCCCATTCAAATCTTGTCCTTATCAGTTATCCTGATGTAGATTTTTCATGGTTATACGCAGTCCTTCCTGGAATAGTGCCAGGGTACTACCTCAAATTAGGCCATGGCCACTTCCTAATTCATTATTTACTAATCGTTCAGCACAGCATCTTAAATAAACCACAGACGGTTTCATTTATCTGCTTCATTTAAAAAATTCAATATTTGTTAATTTATAATTTGTATTAATTTGTTAAACAGGTAACAAAATGGCATACCTTCATGGGAGAAAACTATATAAAGCACTAGATGACTTGAGTAAGAGAATTCCTGTGGTAAAACTGGAGCGACTGGAAGCAGTGTACCCAAATTTCAAGGAAGCTGCTCATGAGTCACTGGTGAGTAATTTTGTCAACATGGTTTAGTTCAACACTAAACATGAGAACCCCACACCCAACAGGATAGTCATGATTCTATTTTGTTGTTATTATCAGGAGGAAAGAAATTAATACAGGCAAGACAAATGTGCCCTGAAGCTGTCAGACAGGCCAATGGTATAACATAATCAAAATAACTTAACCCTCATGTCATAGAAACAGAAGGCATCTGTAAGCTCTCAGATAATGGGACACTGATGTCATGCACAAATTACTTCCAAAACAAAAATGCAGAGGCTGACATGTCAGCATTAATTCAGAAAGAAGAGGAAATGGAATTTATATACGATTCTTAAATAAGAGGGTATGTGGCAGAGTCCATTGAAATGATAATTCCAGTGTGTTGCTTCTCTGTCTAATTTGAATGTCCAGTGACTACCGTGACTTGTTTCTGATTGAATTTCACCAGTGACAGAAATTACTGCCATGTGAATTCCTATCAAACAGTAGAGTAGTATGTTATTCCTGTGACTACAAACATGAGTAAAATGACCATACATTATTAAGATAATGTACAACATATCTTCTTGCTTACAACATTTGAATATTATTTGACTAAGACTGTAGAGATTGCAGTGAAAGTGGTTCTTAAGGAAATAAGGAGGTAGGCAGTACAGACTGGGCTCACCTGACTCAAGATGGTATCCAGTGGTGGACTCTTGGCCACATGATAATGAACATTTGACTTAAGATCGAAAAGTTTGTGATGATGGTAAATTACTACAAGTACTATGTTTCTGGACATTATCCATCGTCTTGTCTATTTAAAAAAAAAAAGTCCTGTTTATTTTTTAAAACACACCGTTTCAGAGACTGGATTCTGTCCCCATCCTCAGGTAAAACCTACTCAGTTGGGTCAAATATATAGAGCTAGCCCCTATCTCTGGAGACCCAACTGAGTAGGTTTTACCCGAGGACGGGGACAGAATCCAGTCTCTGAAACGTTGTGTTTTAAAAAAGAAACAGGACTTTTTTTTTTTCTTAAATAGACAAGACGATGGATAATGTCCAAAAACATAGTACTTTTAACATTTGACTTCCATAAAAGGTAGGAAATTTGTTAACCATATGAGTAGCTGTCATCTTTTTAAGAAAAACTTTGCTTCATAGAGTGTTGATGGGTTAACATAGTGCTGTCTCAGAATATGAACTGCTTACAATTGACCCACTCTGAAACTTGTGGACACTATGGTAATATATTTACTATTGTAGTATGTCTGTGAATTGTTAAGTTTTATGCCAAAAGTTAGTAATAAAAAGTGCTGATAAGTAATAACCTCAGAACCTATAAATTGTTTAACATATTGCATGCCCAACTAGTTTGAATATTCAAGAGAACTGCTATTACTGTTAGTATTGATAGCATCACATACAGTGTGTTCAATCATCGAAGAATCCGGAGGAGCAGCGTGAGTCAGATACATTTCTCACATATTGCTGCTGTAACTGCCGATAGTGGAATGAGTCATCAGCACTGATAAACGTGCAAACTCTTGCTAGTGTAGAGCGGATGGATCATTTCTCTGTGACTACTGTTCCCTTCCCCACTAGCAATAGTGCAGTCATTTCACTGATTCCCTCACATCAGTTTATGTACATGCACACATTTATAGGAATACTGGAAAAAGGTAACAAACTTACTGTGCTTTATAACAGGTTTTGGAAGTGACCCCCCTCTGCTTGCAAACATGACTCGCATCGCATCGCATAAATTATGCAACACTCTCTGAAGTTGGTCCATGGCAGTTGAACTAATTACATGTGTTATTTCACTCTGCAGAGTTTCAATGGTGCGAGGATTATTCTTGTAGACTTTTTCCGTTAGGTTTCCCCAAAGATGAAATCGCAAAAACTGAGATCTGGGGATCTGGGAGGCCACAGTCCCCTGCTGGTTATTCTGTCTTCAAACACTTCCCATATTGCGACCATGGATGCATTAGCCGTATGTGCTGTATCGTTGTCTTGCTGAAAATACCCATATTGTCTTTCTTCAGCAGTCAGCTGTTTGAAGAACAGATTCAGTATATCATTAATATAGCAATCAGAGTTCATGGTTTTGTGGAAAAATGAGGGGCCAGTGATTCGCTGTGGACTTACAGCACACCACACCCCACCTTTTCACTATGTAATGGTAGTTGCTGTATAGTATGAGGATTTTACCCCCATAATTAGTTCAGTTGCCGTGAACCAACTTCAGAAAGTGTCACATAATTTATGGAATGCAAGGCATGTTTGCAAGCAGAAGGGGATCATGTAAGATTTGAGGTTTTCACGGCGGTGACTATGAAGAAAGCAGTCGTCTGGGATTTGGCACCATGTATATGTGGTGTTAACCGACGTTTCTGAGGAACGTATCACCTCCATCTTCAAGGTAGAAGGGAAAATATAAGAAATCCTCAGGCGAAGAGACCGTGAGAACCAGTACAAGCAGACTGGTGTTGGAAATATACACAGCTATGTGTGTGCAGTGAAGGAAGGGGGGAAGGAGCTGCTCCACTGATTTCACATGTAGATTTGCCCTTCCCCCCTTCCTTCACTGCTCTCACATAGCTGTGTATATTTCCAACACCAGTCTGCTTGTACCAGTTCTCACGGTCTCTTTGCCTGCGGATTTCTTATATTTTTCCTTCTACCCTGAAGATGGAGGCGATACGTTCCTCCGAAACGTCGGTTAACACCACATATACATGGTTCCAAATCCCAGAAGACTGCTTTCTTCAGAAGGGGATCACTTCTAACACCTGTTATAAAGCATGGTAAGTTTGTTATCTTTTTAAAGTATTCCTATAAATGTGTGCATGTACAGAAACTGATGCAAGGGAATGAGCAACACGACTGCACTCTCACTAGCGGGGAAGGGCACGGTAATCTCGGGGAAATGACCCATCCGCTCTACACAAGCGAAGGTGCGCGCGATTATCAGCACTGATGACTCATTCCACTGTTGGCAGTTACAGCAGCAATTTGTGAGAAATGTTGTATCCAACTCACCCTGATCTCCCGGTTTCCTCAATGATTGAACGCCCTGTACATTTGTATTTAAAGTAACAGAACTGCGCTAAAAGTGTTTCCTCTCACTTTCTCTAATATTCATTTGTAGTTAGTGTCTAAAGCGGCCTCTGTTGTTGTTGTTGTTATTGTTATTATTATTATTATTATTATTATTATTATTATTATTATTATTATTATTGGAGGGGGTGGGTTTCCCCATGCACCGCGACCAGTTGTTGATCTGTTGTATGTCCCCC